GGGAGGCTGAAGGCGGGTGGATCACCTGAGGTCAGGAGTTTGAGATCAGACTGACCAATATAGTGAAACCCTGCCTCTACTAAAAATACAAAACTTAGCCGGGCATGGTGGCGGGTGCCTGTAGCCCCAGCTACTCAGGAGGCTGAGACAGGAGAATTGCTTGAACCCAGGAGGCGGAGGTTGCAGTGAGCTGAAATCATGCCACTGCACTCCAGCCTGGGCGACAGAGAGAGACTCCCTCTAAAAAAAAAATTACCTGGGGGTGGCAGTGCATGCCTGTAGTCCCAGCTACTTGGGAGGCTGAGGCAGGAGATTTCCTTGAGCCAGGGAGAGGTGGAGGTTGCAATGAGCCAAAATCGCACCACTGCACTCCAGCCTGGGCAACAGAATGAGACTCAAAAAACAAAACAACAACAACAAAAAAAACACCAAACCAATTATAAAGAAAACAGAAGTTCCAGTCTCAAAAAGATAAATGGAATGACCTAGGCCTGTAAAATGGTGGAAAAAAATAAGTAAGTGGCAGAGAGAAGCTGACTGAAATGAACACCACATGGACCAGCCAGGGTACTCTGGGCAAGACTCCTCACTTCATTCATCTGCTATTTACTGAGGTCCCATAGGTGATGAGACTATGCTAGACATGATGGAAAGGATGGTAGGGTCCCCTGCCTCCAGGAGTTAACGATGCAGTGAGGACATGTATTAAACATATTTACCCAAATAATTACCAATTACTATTGTGAGGGGAAAGAGGGGCCGCGACTTCCAAGTGTTTTCCTTGCCTTGCCTCCTCCCCAATTCAGTGTCCCTCACCTGTACCCTGAGAAGGCTGTGATCTAGGCTGAGTTCCTTTCTATGAGGCAGTCTTTCGGAGTGAGGCTTTGGGAAGAAAATCAAACCCCAAATCGGCCTTGCAGCCACCTGAGGGGCACGCAGAAGGACTGGTTAAAAGGCAGTGAGCAAAGATCTACCCTGAGGGCAGAAAAGCTTTGCTGACACGGTATTTACTAAAATCAGTTTAGTTTTAAGGTGGGAGGAAAGCTCCATCTGCCTAAATCAATTCTCAGTGTTACTTCGCGAACCCTTTGGGAAAGTTACCCTGCAAGGGAATAAAAGTATGGTGGGGGGAGGATGAGGAACAAGCTGCAATATTAAGTGGCTCTAGTTAACAAGTAACCTGATTTTTCCTTATTGTCAAATCAAGTTCGCCTTATACTCCAGGGATCTCCCAATCCCCCATCAAGAGGGGTAAACAAGAACAAGCCAAATAATCGGGGCATGCTTCCTAGAGGGACCTCTGAATCATAAAGATGTTGAATCATTTATACCAACACGTATTTTTTTAAAGTTTGCACGTACTAACCTTTGCTCCTGAATTTTAAGTTCCCAACTTTAAAGGACATAGAGGAGAGGTGTTTATTACAGTTTTCAATACTTCCTGGAACTAAATGCCTTTATTCTGATGCTGATTAATAAAAAATATATCAGCAGTGCACAGTTTTCAAGCTTACACAACACCCTTTTCCCTAAGTGAAGAGGGAAAAGAATCACATTCTTCCATCTAATTCCAACCTACTGTGACTTGCTCTTTTACCTCCTCTTTATGAAGAGGTGGATAAAAGTGAGAAATGCCTTTTACAGCAAGTCTGAACATCTGAGGGAAATTAAAACCTCCCTTCGCTACCCAGGCTGCCCCAAACAGCGGGGCCTCGGTTAGGATCACAGTGGCGCGATCGCAGGTCAAACATCCCCCACGGCTACAGCGAGGCCTGCTGGGCCCAGAAGAACACATTCCGAGCAGTACAAGTTCGAGCAAACCCGGAGCAGCACACCCAAGGAACGCGGCGGCCGGGCGCAAGTGCTGCTCTGTTCCCAGGGCGGCCAGCCTCCGGCCTGCAGACCTGGGTGGCAGCCAGTGGTCGCTCCGGGTGGCACACTAGGCAAGTCCCGGAACCCAAGGCCCAGAGAGTCAACTGGTCAAATATAAGGCAGCGTCCAAAAAGTTCCGCTCGTAAATCCTCGTGACACCCAACGGGCCTGAGCGCTCATTACCACCAGAACCCAGCAGAGTCCAGCCCTGAATTTCATACCCCGGGCCTTCCACCGTGGGTGCCAGGAGCCGCGGGCCCCGGGTGGATCTCGAACGCCAGGGGCAGAACCCGAAGAAAGGCTTCCAGTAGTTGGGGGAGGGGGGCGCAAAAAACAATTTAGAAGGCTCCCGGGCCGCGGGTTCCCACCCACTCCGCCGGTTTCCACCCACTCCGCCCTGCCCTGCGCAATCAGCTCGCTAACTCCACCGGCCCCGCGGGAGCGAGAGGAAACTAAGCGAAAAGCTCTTAACGACTTAGTGTTTATAAAGCAACCAAGCCCGGGGAGGGGACTGGGTCCTCTGGGTACCCTTTAGACACAGCTACTCATTCCTTCACTCCCTTTCCCCGAACCCACGCTGGCGCCTGGGGGTGCCCAGCATGACAGCCTCTACGGGAAGTGGGGTCTTTGGGGAAGTCTCTGCCTCTGCCGGGCTCTGCCAACTTTAGCTGCTCCCGCATGTCCCACCTGGGTGCCTCCTTGGCGCAGAGACCCCCCATCAAAGCCACCAAGGAGAGGCTAAGGGATTCGTGGAGATGGGTGCCGGCAGCAGAACCCCTTTCGCGCACCTTCCCGGATCACCGTCTGCCCAGCGTGCCCAGGACCCCAGCTCCTCAGCGATAAGAGGCCTCCTTGGCCACGTTTCTCACCTTGGATGGTGCCATTGCAGGAGACAGAGGCTGCCAGCAGGATGGCGGCCCCCAGCAGCCACGCCGCGCTGGGGCGCCACATCCTCCCCGAAGCCCCGACGCCGGGCGCGCTGGGAATCCGCCGCCACCGATTCGAAACTCAGAGCTCCACTGGACGCACCGAGAGAAAGTCAGCCTCTCGTCTGTCCCTAATCGCAGCCTCTGCGCTCCTCCCCAGGGCGGGTGAGGTTTCAGGGAAACCCGAGGCGCCGCTGGACTCACCTGCGGGAGGCCACGCCCCGGGACCGGAACGAGGGCCCTGGCCCCGCCCCCGGTCACCTGCCTTGCGCGGCTGCTCCCCCGGGTCCCTGGACGAGCGCCAGGTCTCCTAGACTGCTGGAGCCGCCTGCGGGCGGGGTTGAGCGCATGAGGTGTCCGCTTTGGAATGCAAATATCAGGAGCGCTGGGACCTCGGGTTAATCCCGGCCTGGGTTATGCCGCGAACTACCTTTAACCTTTACTTACTCCTAGAGAACCGGGTCGTATGTCTCCCTCACTTTTCCTGACTATGGGAAAGCCACGATCCGAACTCACTGCAATTGTGGTTGGTAACTGATACAGAGAGGGCTTCCCGGTGCGGTGGACACTGCAGGAGGAGGGATGCGTTTTTTATTGTAGAGGCAGCTGCAGCTGCGGACACCACGAAAGCGGTGGGGAGCACAAGGGGCGGGGCGGGAAAGAAGACATGGAATGGCTCCTTTCAGCGCCAAGTGCCAAAGCTTTAGAGAATTATCTTGTTTAATCCCTATAACAACCAGCGCGATAAGTATGATTATTCTTCCCATTTTACGGACGAGGAAATTGAGCTTAGAAAGACTAGATAAATTGGTTAGAGTTACACGGTTTATAAACACAGTATATAAATGTTTATCACATTTCAACTGTAGTCTAAGACTGCCACTGTCTTCTATTCATTGCTGCACTATAAATGCGTCCACCAGGGCTCCTCTGTATTGGGATCCCATAGGCTAAATAAATACATGAGCAAATAGAAGGGGTGGGAGAGGAGAAGTGTGGGGTTGGGGATAAGTGCATGAGTGCTTGAGGGTTTGCATCATATTGGTAATGTCTTACTTTTTTTTTTTCTTCGAGTCGGAATCTCGTTCTGTTTCCCAGGCTGGAGTGCAGTGGCGCCATCTCGGCTCACTGCAACCTCCGCCTCCTGAGTTCAAGCAATTCTTTGGCCTCCCAAGCAGCTGGGGTTACAGGCGTGCACCACCACATCTGGCTAATTTTTATATTTTTAGTAGAGACGGGGTTTCACCATGTTGGTCAGGCTAGTCTCGAACTCCTGATCTCGTGATCCGCCCACTTGCACCTCCCAAAGTGCTGAGATTACAGGCATGAGCCACCGCACCCAGCATGTCTTACTTTTTATTTGCTTTTTAGAAGATCTACTAAAAGTCTACTGTTACCAATTTAAACCATTGGTATCGGAAGAGCACAGAAGGGAGACATAGGTGTTTTCAAATATTTGAAGGATTCGCTTGTAGAAGAGGATTTGGATGTGTTTTGAGTAGCCCCAGAGAGCAAAAATAGGTGGAAGCCACAGTGGGGTTTAATTTCAGCTCAATGTATAAAGAAATCTTCTCTCTTTTTTATGTTAATTTATATTAGAAAATAGAAATGGGGTCTCCCTATCTTGTCCAGTCTGGTCTGGAACTCCTGGCTTCATGTGATCCTCCCCACTGAGCCTCCCAAAGTGCTGGGATTACAGGAATGAGCCACCACACCCGGACAGGCTTCTCCCCTTGTTCATATCTGTGTGATCCCAAGTTTACTTATCTTTTCTAAACTTTAAGTTACTATATATATACACACACACACACACGTGTGTGTTTTAAAGGTGTTTGAGGATAAAATAGTGACTAGTGACTGGGTTGGATACATGGTAGAAGCTCAATAAATATATTTTATTTCCTTTCTCTGAGGAGTCTTCATACTCCACCTGCACCCCAGCTCTCACTTCAGCCCATGCCCACTTTTCCTCCCAGGAAAAGTTGACTTCTAGAAGCAGAACAGGAACCTTTGACATCCTGAACAGCGGACAGTTCTCCTGATACGGATCAGGCCATTCCTGAAGGTCCCTCCCCAGGGGAGATAACTGATTGGTAAGATGTCCCTTCAAACTATTCAAGCATCCATTTCCTCACCTGTAGCTTATTAGTATTACATCTATCATCTGGGAATGATACTAGTACCTCTCTCGTAGGGTGGTTGTGAGGATTCACTTTGCTAAATGTCCATAAAGCACTTCTCAGCACAGTTTCTGGTATATAGTAAGCACCTAAGAAATGGGAAGTGCTATAGAATGACTGCCTTTAAGGTGGAATCTTCCTCTTTCAAAGAACAATACATCAGGGTTCAGGTGGGTTTTTTTATCTTTGTTTTTTTTTTTTTTTT